TACATTTTGCATGCTTGTTTCTACACCTTCTTTCTTACTAACACACCTACCATCACACATTTTGCACCATGCCATGTGGTAAGCTCTCTCATTTTCCATTTTAGATCTAGATTGAAACGTCACTTTAGAGGGAAAATTCAAAGTTGAATTTCAAATATGAACTACAGTTAATTGACTTGAGTACAGGTTAACTTAACCTTGCTTACACTTAACTTGCACCACAAGCTACTAAACTCTATATATACATGTAATCCTCACATAACTCATCACTTTTGAGCATATATGAAATTTAAATTGAGTTTTCTCTCATATTCAAGAGTCCTTAGAGTCTCTCTTTGAATGCAACTTCATTTGAATCTCTTATCAAGGATTCTTTCCTTGTGATGAGAGACCTTCTTGGCTTATCTCCTTCTTTGGAAATGGCACCACCATTCGTTAACCTTCCCACCATTTTCAAGTTTTTTCTTCTTCAAATAGCCTCATGGATAAAGATCAAGGGAGTAGGAAAAAGATATGAAGAGAAATCAATCATCCTTGAAGTTAATTTCGTCACAATCAACCAAAGATGCTTGACACCCAACATTTTCACTAGGGGGAAGATACACCAATATCATGTCAAAAAAAACTTTTTTATGCACATGATGCATGTCACAAAACAAAGACTCAATGCAAAACACAAACTTCCCCCTATAGCATTCACGATTGTCATGTCCACCCTTACGAGTTTCCTATTACTAACACCAAAGCCTACAAAACACTTTCATCATAGTATTTCATTCCTAAACAAGGGAATTTTATCCAAACTAGGGTGTGACCAATCTTTTCTTTTGATGCCACAAAGTCTAGTGTCCAATTACATACCATTGAAAATCATCCACAACACTCACATGAGCACATTCTCTTTATCACATTTCATATCAAACTTGACCATGTAGTATCCATGACCAATATCCAGGATATCCCTCCTGATGGCTTCCATACCCTCTTCAAGATAACCAATATTAATGATAACCACATCCTTCCATGAGAGTCTTAACTATTGTAGAAGTTTATTATCAATATAACACTTAGGTTTCAACCAATTGTCATCTTCTCACTCTAAATCAGGTCTATTTTTTCTCTTCTCGATAATGGGATTTGTGAACCCATGACCTTATCACAAAAAGAAATTTTAGGAACTCATGTACCTTCCTTGTCTAGTGGTTTCAGGGGTGGTGTAACCAAACCCAGACCTTGCATCACATTCAGATGACTATCCATATTTCTTAATGTATTCTGTCCACTGATCCAATTTAGAATTAGGAGGGGAAAAAAAGAAAAAAGAAAATGATTAGCATGTCCCATTGCCTAAAGAGAAAATGCATCAAAGTTCTTTATTGAAAAATAGAAAAGTTGGTCATTTGGAGAAAAATCTAAGCATTTTCAATATTTGGTTGAATTGAAATCAATTGTTGAATTGCCTGAAAATAAAGTAAAACCTAAGCATGTCCCATTTCCTAAAGAGAAAATGCATCAAAGTTCTTTATTGAAAAAGAGAAAAGTTGGTCATTTGGAAAAAGCATTTAATTTAGAAGATAGAGATAATCTCAAAGCTCTCATTGCTAGAATGTTTTATTCTTTTGGAGTGCCCTTCAACCTTGCTAGAAATCTCTATTATGTGAATTCTTATTCATTTGCTACGAATCACATGCTTCATGGGTTTCTTCCTCCTGGATACAATTCCTTGAAGAAAACTCTCTTACAACAAGAAAAGACACAAGTTTAGAGGTTGCTTAAACCTATTAAATCAAATTGGAATGAAAAAGGTGTTAGCATGGTATCTGATGGATAGACAGATGTCCAAAGAAGGCCTTTAATTAATTTTATGGCTAAAAATGAAAGGGGGCCAAAATTTTTAAAAACTATTAATGCTTCTGATGATTTTAAAAACAAACATTATATGGTTGATAAGATGATAGAAGCTATAAAATAAGTAGGAGAACAAAATATTGCTCAAATTATAACAGATAATACTCCTGTATGCAAAGGTGTTGGAATGATTGTTGAAATTTCTTTTCCTAAAATTTTTTGGACTCCTTGTGTTGTTCACAATTGAACCTTGCATTGAAGAACATATATGCTGCCAAGAACACTGAAAGGAAGGAGGTAGTTTATGCTGAATGTAATTGGGTTAAGTTGTTGATGATGTTTCTTTAGTTAGGAACTTTATCATGAATCACTCAATGAGATTGACAATTTTTAATCACTTCTCACCTCTAAAATTGCTTGCTATAGTTGAAACACGCTTTGCATTTATTCTAGTAATGTTAAAGAGATTTAAACTTTTGAAAGGTGTTTTGCAATTGATGGTTATTAGTGAAGAATGGAACTCTTATAGAGAAGATGATATGGGTAAGGCGCAAGCTACAAAAGAATATATTTTGAATGATGTGTGGTGGGACAAAATTACATATATTCTTAATTTCACTGAGCCTATTTATAGTATGCTTAGGTGATGGAAGAAACTTGGAGAAGTGAATGATGTTCTCTTCCAAACTCCATCTTCAAGTCCAATCTTCTCTTGAGGTTGAAGGATGAACACAGAAGCAAAGATTCAAGCTCCAAAAGCTTGACGGAACAACTCCAATGGCGCAGTCTCCTTCTTGAAGGAGAAGAAGAATTGATGAACCAAGGCACAAAAGAAGGATTCCTTTGTAGGTTCTTAAGGAGAGAAAGTTCTCCACGGTTTGGACTCTTGAAAGAGAGAGAATTTTCTGAATTCTAATCTCATAAATGTTCAAAAGTGATTACAAAGGTAGAAGAAGGACTTATATAGAGTAGGGAAACTTGTGGTGCAAGCTAGGCTAAGTATGGTTTAAGAGAACCGTGGTTAGCTTAACTTGACCGGCCTAGTTGGTTTAAGAGGCTTGTGGAGCAAGCTTCTAACTTAGAAGCTTGGGAAGCAAGCTAAGTTAGAAACTTGTAGCACAAGCTTCCCAAGTGTGCAATGCAAGCTAAGAATTCGGCCAAGGAACAAGGCTAGGCGGCCAAGGCTTCAATTTCCATATTTAATCCAATCCAAAAACTTGGAATTAGTTTAGTTAGGTTCACCAAATGGTGGTGAGACCTAGCTAAATCAATTCCTTGGAAAATATGGAGAAAAACAAGCCCAATATGTAAAATTTGGCCTAGGCCCAATTCTGGCCCAATTATTAGTTGCACCTACACACCTTACTATTTGTCACCCCACTTCTACTACTGAAAATATAAAAATGAATGACCCTTAATACAAGGTCAAATGGAGCAAAAGTTTCCAAGTAACATACCCTAAATTCTCAAAAGAATATACTATAATGAAAGAAGAAAGTGTCTCACAAATACAAAGGCAAAAATGAACTTATACAAGAACTACTATATACAAGTGAGTTCAAGATGTGATGGCCCATATAAAGAGTAGCTTGGGCTTGGCAAGCCCACTAACCTCCAAGCTTGCCAATCCTTCCTGTATGCTCCTGGCCATAGCTCGAGTAATTGGGCTCTTGGCCCATGATCCATCATTAGGGCTTGTCACACAGATAATCCCATACTTCATTTGGTCTATGAGATGTGGGATAGTATAATAGAAAAAGTAAAGATATACATATATATATATATGTGTGTGTGTGTGTGTGTGTGTGTGTGTGTGTGTGAAGGAAAAGAGTTAAATGGTACATCAACATTTTATGAAGTTGTTTATTCTATACTAATTAATAGCTGGACTAAGAGTTGCACCCATCTCCACTACATGGCTCACTCTTTGAATCCTAGGTAAAATTAGTCTATCAAATATTTATTTATTCTTATTATTTATTTATAAATAATTAGATAGATACTATATCTTTTTATCTATTAATTTTCTTATTTATTAAAAGGTACTACAGTAATGAATGGTTTCAAGAGGCTCCAAATAGAATTTTCCCACATGAAGATGAAGAAATTTCTGTGGAGAGAAATAAATGTTTAAAAAAGATTTTCACAACTGTTGAAGAAAGAAGAAAGGTTTCTCTTGAATGTGCTGATTTTTCATCAAAAGCTCATAATTTTGCTTCTTTTAACTCAATTGAAGATAGATGGACATTAGATGCTAAATCCCGGTGGTTAATGCATGGTTCTTTTGCCTTTCTCTTTCAAAAGCTTTTTTTTAAAGCTTCTTGTACAACCTAGTTCTTCATCTTGTTGCAAAAGGAATTGGAGTACTTATTCCTTCATTCACTCGCTGAAAAGAAATAAGTTGAATCATAAAAGAGCAAAAGACTTTGTTTATATACATACTAATTTGCGACTCTTGTCTACGAAAAGCGCAGAATATATGCAAGGGAGTACTAGAATGTGAGACATTGGTGGAGATTCATTTGATAGTCCTGATGGTGTTGAAAATCTTTAAATAATGTCATTATCTCTTAATGAACCAAAAATAGAAGTTGTCTTAATACATATCCTAAACATACTATATTCTATTTCAAAAACTGACATATTGTCATATCGAATATATATCTAATACTTATATTTGTGCATCATAGATTTGCGGTATACTAAAATTAACTCTTCTAACAATTTTCTTTTGAACACAAAGTTCTAACGCAAAATCTTATTTGAAGAAAATTAAATATTTGTTAGTAATTATAATATTGATGCAAAAGTATCAATTTACTTTGCCAATACCTATTATTTTGAACTCAACAAGAAAATTGAATCCAGTTATATACCAACGACTCAAACTAATCATACTATATGGTTGCATTAAAAAAATTTAACCCACTTGAATTCAAGATTTTGGAGAATAATGATCACACTATTAACATTTAATTCAAAATTTATTATTTTGTATGTGTTTTGTTGAAACGTATGATTAACCTGTTCAAATATCATGTTTTTAATAAATTAATAAAAACAATACGGGCAAAATAGATAAAAAAAAAATCCCCCCTTAAACTCAGTCGCACAGAATGTGAACTGAAAAAAACAAAAACATTGCAAACAGATTGGACCTCAAATCCCTCAATCCAACATTGATGTCACAACCACGTGCATGTTGGCATCAATAGACATCCTTTCTAAATTCACCACTGTTCTCAAATAAGTGAAATTCTTTATGGTCAAATGCATCTTAAAAACTAATTACAAGGTGTCATTATGGTCCTTGGAGACACAAGCTACAAGAAGAGACTCGCATAACAACATAAAATTAGAGATTTCAAGTGTAGTGTAGTAGTATAATTTGTAGTTACATGTAGACCTCCATGCCGATAAATTTGGAGGATTGACATAGAGGACAGAAACTAAGCTTACTTTCACAATCTTTACAGAGGCAAAGATGCTTACAAGGTAACAAAACCATGGTCACTTCATTGACTCTGCAAGCCTTGCATGTCATCATCTCTTTCACATCAGTATTCTCCTTCGAAAGCAGATGAAAATCAAGTGAACGGTCGTTGCAGCAAGAGGCTGTATCGTCTACTTCGCTGTCACCGCACCCTTCTTTACTATCTCTGCTTTGAACATATGCTTGCTGTAGGTTAAACTTGAGAGCAGCAATCATGTTTTCGTTGTATCTTGCTCGCTGTTGCCATGTACCAACTTCTACAGTTAACTGCTCCATTCGATCTTCGAGTTCCATGTTCCTCTTATTGATGCTTTCTACCTCAGCTTCTTTCTCGCGAAGTTTCTGAAGGACTTTGTCTTCAATGAGTGAGACACTCTGAAGCTGTGTTGCCTGAACCTTCTCCAAGATTGTTTGTCGCAATCGTTCACCCTATTAGAAAGAGAAGATTAATTAATGTTGCATCTTCAAATTAGAGAAAGTTCTCTTTTTCCTGTTTATACAGATGACAGATCAGGCTATACATACAAGTCCCCAATGCAAGTCCAGAAAGGCATTTGAAACTTTGAAGCAGTTACTAATAATTCAATCAGTGATGCACACGTGTTATAAGGAATAAATATATTTAATAATCTTTTCTCATCAATTCTGGTTTTTGACTCGCTTTTGAAGAAACTAAAATAGCAAAGCAACTGATCTCATTATTCAATAACAGCAAGGGGCATGGAAAAGGTGGAGAGCAGACTACTCTCCAGCACAAGTAAAAAATTGACCATCTCACATGCATACCACACCCTTTTTATAGAATGAATCAACCTTACTGATTCACATATCCTTTAAGAAAATTAGTTAATTTAGTTAATCTTATTATGTCAATAATGTGTTTTGTTCTTCCAAAAGGACCCATAACTTTTTTAAATTAATCATCTCTTTCCACTTAATTGCTTCTCATCTAAGTAATTAATGTTTTGAGAGAGAATAATTAACGCATCTAGAACTTAGAAAATGATGGAATCATGCTTAGCATGATTCCATCAGAAAAGGATCCTATAAAAAGGGACAAACAATTATCTTTTACGGATCTAGTAAATAGTATTAGAAAGAGCATATATGCAAACTTTAACAATTCAGTAACATAACAGAAAAGCAGTATATATACGAAGCAAACTTAGATAACAGATCATTCACCAATGATCCTTAATGACATTGATAGGTAGCAAAATACTACTCTATCACTATTCCTATATTTCTACCATTAAAGAGCTAAAAACACTACAAAGAAGATAAAGATAAACCGAGATATTTTCATTAAATCCCAAAAGCTAAGGAAATACATTATTTATAATCCCAATAGCTACAAAGATGACCCTACAAGTGTCATCATCGAGTATTTAGGGATTTAAAACTATAAACTATATAATATTTTAATATCATCCTATTAATCCACTTGATTCAATTTTCTTCTTTTAGGCATTGTAAGGCCCATCCTATCATTCCCTTCTGCTTCACTTGGACCTTGTCATCAAGGTCCTTAGAATATTTGTGCAGCACATAGCTTCTCTGCTTTAGCACCAAAATGCTAATCATTTTGCTGCCAAAAAGCATACATGACATTGAAATTGATTGAAAGCTAGCAAACCTTCATCAAAACAGATCCATACCACAAGGCAAGGCCATAAAGTGAGAAAATAAAGAAATGGGAAATGTCATAGAATATGCCAGCAGCTTGTCCTAGTGAAAACGAGCATTTGGTGAGATCAACAAGCTCATTAACATAAAGGTCAAAGACCTTTTCTTCACACAGTGCAGCAACAGTGTGTATATTGCTCACAACCTCCTTGGCCAACATGTTGGCTTTTAGATATGCTGTGCTCAAGTTGCAACAATAGATTTTCATAAAAGATTTCTCACTGATACGACCACTAATGATCCAAGGATATGTAGCTATGACAACAAGGGTCATTCTCCAGTTCAAGATGGAGGCAATAATAAAGGAAGCAACAACCACACCAATATTAAGTAACATAATTGTTAAGGGCCATCCTATCAGACATTGTCATTGCTTTAGTTGCATGTAGAAGTTCAAACAATAATGAAAAAGGGAGGGGGGAGTTTTGAAGAGTGAATAGAAGAATAGATCTTACTTAAGGTGATAAATGCCTAGAATGGATGCAGGAAGGCAGGAAGATACTTCATTTGGTCATGGAAGTTCAGCACTATGTAATGAGAATTCTCTTAAGCTTCCATTTACATTAAATAACTTGCATCCCACTTCTAATAGGTATTTCCTATAATCATGTAATCAGAAAACTGAAAGTGCATGCTTCATACAAATTAAAATAACAGAGAGGAGAAGTGCTTGCATAAGCCTAGTGCCCCTCCGATCACATTAATTATACTAGGTAATTATTAATTATGACATTTTTTTATTAAATAATCTATACTAATATATAAAGAGGATACTCCTTTTAGTAACCACCTTAGTCTCCACATTTTGTTGACCATTATACCCTTTCATTTTAAAAAAATTAGAAAAAATAATATTTTTATCAAAATCAAGACCCTAAAATTAATCTATACTAATATATAAAGGAGATACTCCTACCTTGATCTCCATATTTTGTTGATCATTATACCCTTTCATTTTAAAAAGTTAGAAAAAATAACATTTTTATCAAAATCAAGACCCTAAAATTAATTAACTAATTATAACATTAGATCCACATATACTTATTACTTAATTTTTATTTTATTTTATCTTTAATAGAGGCACGAAGTGCCTCAACCTTACTAGTTTACATGATTGGCCCAGAACACAACTTGCATGTGTAAAGTTAATTTAAATATTTCTCCACTAAGATACCTTGCAAAATGGACGAAAGATAACCATAAGAAAAACAAAGACTATAAACAATCCTTACTCACAAGTAGAGGGGTTGGCCCAAAAAGCCCGTAGTCCACATAGGGCCGGGTTTGGGATCAATTTAAAAAACCAAATTCAATCCAAGCCTTTTTGGCCCAGCCTGGTATAGCCTATAGCTTACATTAGGCCAGCCCACAATGGGCTGGATAGCCTGTTTTGCCAGCTCTACTCTCACAAGTGGCATTATGGACATCGAATGTCAAAAATAGTCTAACAGAAGTACAAAAACATTTATACACCAAAATGCAATCAAACCCTTAACAGATCCCTTATTGACCAACAACAGAAAATACATCATGTGTGCAAAAATAATAAGGTCCATACTACTCTTTTCATATGCATCCTATCATGTCTCACAATTGATTTTAACTTAAAATAGTTTATCTTGAACAAATAACCAATAAAATGGTATACTAGACATCAAAATCTGAGCTTACCTGCACTTTGAGAAACCTATCTATCTCTACATCCTGCTGCTGCAACTCACGTTCAATGTCATCACCAATGAGCGACAACAAAGCCAAATCTCCAGTGGAAGTCAGGCGAGTATTGTCAAGTGACAAGCCCAACCCAGTCGACACTGATCGGGGTTGATGGAAATCAACAGAAGATATTTGAGAATTGTTCTCCAAAAAATCCTGTTCTTTTAGTCTCTTCCTCTCTGGCTCCAAACCATAATTCCATTGCAATTGCAAATCAACTCCACCATCACTGCCATCAGCAGGAGGAACAGGACCCGGGGCAAACCCAACAACATGAACTAGAAAACAACAAAATAAATAAATAAATAATCACAACACATAAAAATCTAGGGTTTAACTTACCATACCAACCCCACAACTACCCCAAAATCAATGTTGAGGAAAAAACAAAATAAATAAATAAATAATCACAACACATAAAAATCTAGGGTTTAACTTACCATACCAACCCCACAACTACCCCAAAATCAATGTTGAGGGAAAACACGCAAAAGACTTCAAAAATCTAAACTTTCCTGGATCATCATCTATACTAATATATAAAAGGGTTTTAGTAACTATCTCCACATTTTCTTAACCTTTATACCCTTCTATTTTAAAAAATTAGAAAAAAAAATTATATTTTTAATCAAATTTAAGAACTTGAAACTAATAGAATAATTATAATATCAATTAGCCTAATATATTTTTATTACTTAATTTTTATTCTTATTTTATCTTTAATAGAGGCACAAAATGTCTCGAATAACATAAAAGAAACAACTTTGACTCAAGATGACCAAAAGGGGTACCATCAACAAAACCTAGCTAGGGTTATTTCCTTAAAAGTTAGATTTTCCAGAGCATTTAAGATATGTAACTAAAGGGACAAAATTGAACAAAGGGAAGGTAAAGATGAAGAATTTACATACATGGAGGAATATAGGGCGGATGCTGGGGCTGATCTTGCAAATCAGTGGGGCTGTAAAACGCAACCTGCTGTGACATTTGACCATCGATTGTTTGCAGATTTCTGAAAGTAAATGAAAACGTCAAATGAGGAAAACATAAAGAAGCAAAAAGATTAAATTGCAAAGAGAAACTACCAACAAAAAAAAAATTAAAAGGGCTTGGTGAAATAAAAGGTGGAAAGGAAGGGGTTTCAACGAAAATCGGGAGGGTAATTGGATTAATTACCTGAAGGATTTGGTTTGTGGCTGTTGTTGTTGGGCTTGGTAGTGCCGTTGGAAGTGATGCTGAGGGAAAGTCATGGATGAAGAAGAAAAAGAAGAACAACAACAACACTGAGAAATGGAAATGAAAATGACGAGGTGGTCGATGCAGAAGTTTCTTTTAATTTCCACACTTGCCCCTCATACTTTTTTTCGTTTATTTTTTATTTATTCATAAAATAAAATAAAATGTCTCGATTAATTCATTAACCCAACTTTCAGAATTTGTCCAAAATAAAACTAACTTGAACGTGGATTTATTCATAAAATCAATTATTGTCTTCCAAAAAGAAAAAATTGCTCGTCCTTGTATTGTATTACCTGCATACTATATAAAAAAATGAAGTGAATATTTTGGTAATATCTGTTTATATCTTTAGTTTATTAATGAACGTATTTACCGGACTACTAATATTATAAATAATGTTCATTGATAAGTATTATTAAATATAATTATCATAAATATTATTTAATTTAATGAATTTTTGAAATAAAATTATGATATTATTAATTAAACTAATTAATTTAACTACTTGATATCAATAAATTATGTAACGTAGTAAGATTTTTTTTAAAAAAAAAATATGGGTGATTTAGTAGTTCAGAACGAGTCGTTCCCAAACTGGAACGGGCCGTTCCAAACTACTAAATTGACTTGTAAAACGTAGTTGAGAACGGCCCGTTCTGGATGGAGTACGGGCCGAACCCTAGAACGAGCCGTTCTAGAGGGAGTACGGGCCGTTCTTGATGGAGAACGGGACGTTCTGGATGAGTACCAGAACGGGTCGTTCTAATTTCAGAACGGACCGTTCTGCATGTAAATTTTGTACGTGAAGAAGGGGTGCAAAACGAGTCGTTCCGAATTTGGAACAGGCCGTTCTGGCTACTTCGAAACTTCTATAAATAGGGTTTGTGTGGTTGAGGAGAAAGTGAAGTTTTTAGAGAGAAGTTTTAGAGAGAAGGACTCTGGGTCTGTGAGCTCCTTTCTCTCCCAAATTTCTCTGTATGATTCCTTTTCCTCTCTAGATCACTAATGCCTTTTGTCTTTCCTTGAAATTCAGATTAGGAAACTTGTTTTTGGAGGATTGAGGTTTCAGGTCGAGCTTCGGAAGGGAATTCTACTTTTTCTCAGTTATTGGCTATTTTGAGTCAATCTTCAGGTGATGGAAGTTAGAATATTTGTTGTTTAGGATTGCATGTGAGTTTAGAAACTCAATTAATGCATGAATGTTGAGAATCCATAAATGGATTGAAGAAAATCTCATTTTTTTGGGGTTTTGAGAAAAAGGAGGATTTTGATGATTTTGATGTATAGGTTGGATGCATGCGAGATTTAAGTTTATTTTGTGTTATATGAAGCCTATGCATTGTGTTTTTGTGTTTGCATATGGTTGGATTTGTTAGTTTGGATGAGAGTTTTGAACTCTTTGACTGGGATTAGGTTAGGCGCAGGTTGAGCGCGCCAGGCGTGGAAGTGCTTAAGGTTCTCGGGTTGGATGTTGGGCCAGGCGTGATTTGGTTGCGTCAGGCATGGAGACTCTTAGGAGTCTCTATCTCAAGGACAACGAGCGTGAGTTGAACGCGCCAGGTGTGGATGAGTTTTAGGACTCTCAGGTTGGGATTAGGCTGGGCGAGCTCAGGCTGCGCCGGGCGTGAACATGTTTATGAATGAAATGATGCTAATGCATGTTAAGTTGAAGTTTTGGATCATGTATGTATGATATATGATGTATGCTGAGGTGTGATTCATATGTATGCATAGTGATGATATATATGAATGTTTAAATATGATATGGCATGAGTATATGTTCATATGTGTATGATTATTGATCATAATGGTGGGTAGACCATGTATGATGTATGATGCATTATTGCATGTGATGTCTTATGACATGTGTATGATTGTTGATCATGATGGTGGGCAGACCATGTATGATGTATGATGCATAATTGCATGTGATGCCTTATGGCACGAGTCTAGCCTAGGACTTGAGGAGAGGAAAAATATTTTCGAACTGGAAGAGCTCACATAGAGTCTCTTGAGAGTGGTGCTTGGATAGGCCACTGATATATGAGAGTGGTGCTTAGGGAGGCCACTGGATTTGAGAGAGTGGTGCTCAGGTAGGCCACTAGGTTGGGTGAGTCTCCTCTAAGCCCTTAGCTAGTGTTGGAGCAGGGTATGAGGTCGAGGGTTATTCCCTTAACCAAGTACTTGAGAAGGTGCGTGGATCCTTGCGGATAGTCGGTGGGCGAACTCCACAATTGACTTGGTTATGCATGCCAAGGTCGTGGTAAGCCCGAATCCAGTTGTGCTATACCTGACGGTGGATATGGACTTCCAATTGTGTAAGTGACATCAATCCCTATGTCATTCATGGAAGGAGGAATCCATCAAGGTTGGCTCACTCCAAGGTAGGTGGAGACCACTCTAGGTTTCAAAAAAAAAAAAATACACGAAATAAATTAAAAAAAAAACTAATTACCGAAATAGGTGATTTTAGACAGGTAAGCATACACGTGGCACTGAAAACGCCTGGGGGTGGGCGTTTTTTAGAAAACGCCTCCACCCCAGGCGCCATCTATGCTGATGTGGCACGGTGAAGAGAAAACGCTGGGAGGAGGCGTGTTGTACACGTGGCAGAAGATTGTTGATGGCGCCTCCCCCCAGGCGCCATGTAAGCTGACGGTAAAAAGAAAACGCTGGGGGAGGAGGCGTGTTGTACACATGGTAGAAGATTGTTGATGGCGCCTCCCCCCCAGGCGCCATGTGTAGACGATGTGGCACACACTGAAAGCGCCTCCCCTCCAGGCGTTTTGCCATGTCTGGGTGCGCACCTCAGTACAAATTTACAAAAACGCCTGAGGGCCAGGCGCTATCAAATTAGTTAAATGTATTGGGTTGCACAAGATTCATTTGTTCGGTTTGTGGTCCAACGTATTTTTTATTTGGTGGTCCAGGTGCTTCAAGTAAGTAAGGGTTTTTAAATATTTGTAAATTTAAAATTTAAATTTTATATGTTCTATGTATGTATCATTGTATATATATATATATATATATATATATATATATATACTTATTGACCTATGACATATGATACACGTAACATTTTTCAATATGTTATTAGCACACTTTTTTTATATAATCAATAAAAAAATTAAAAAAATATATTTTCTAACTCACTTTTATTATTAATCGGGATAAATTAAAAAATATATATAATGAGGTAATGATCTATTTTCTGACTCACATTTATTTTATGAGCTAAGGATCTATTTTATAGAATTACAAAAACAAATTGTATTATATTCAATTGTTTATTTTTTTATGCTTGAATTTTTTTTATTTTCATATTCAATAGAAGACTTGAGTATGTCTAAGATAAAGTGCATTATTATTAAAGACTTAAGTTGATTGTTGATACCGTGTTCAACTATATAAATCTATATTTATATTTTTATATTATTACAGTTAGAATAGTCTCTTTAAAAATTTTGTATTTTAAACTTTACGATTTGAACTCATTTTTTTAAAACTTTTATGTCTTTAAGAATTTAAATATTTCTTATTAATTACCGAATTAAATAAGTCTTTAATAAATTTATTGATGCCAATTAAGGACACTAGAATTTTAATAGTTTTTAATAACAATTACATATTTTCAACGATTTTTATTTGACTTTTCTTTTGGATTTTATGAATTTTTTGTTAGGTCATAAGTAATGTATATTTCACTTTGTGTTCTCCTCCTTCACTTACTATGTGGTATGTATTTAGTTAATTTTTTATTTTATTTTTGTGTTTGTAGTACTTAATTATTTGTTCAATTTTGTGTTTTCTGTATATGGTGAATTGATGGTCATGAGACATAGCAATGACTTAAAAGGATGTGCATGGCTGGCATAAAATTTGAGGATTCCTCTCTTCTCATATTTCTCCTTTTCTAAAAAATTTATCATAAATACAATTTTATTATTCTTATGATCCAATATATTCTCTATATTGACATTATGAGAATTGCATTATTAAAAGGAGTACAAATTCTCACCCCTTCTATTGTCTATTTCTCATTCTACATTATATTCATCATCTAGAAGATGGCAAGTGCATTTTCTCCTTTCATTTTTATTTTTCTCATTATTTTCTCACACATATTTTAAAATTTAATAACTCCTATTATTACATGAGAATGATAATTGAAAGATTGAGAAATATTGTACTTTTAATATAAAATTGAGTTTTAGGTATTTCATTTTAGTGTTGCACAAGATCTATCTATATCTTTATCGATATATTATTAAAGGTAGATATATTATTAAAGGTAGAATAGTCTCTTTCAAAATTTTCTTACACAAAACTGTATAGCCTGGGTCCACTTATTTTCTAAAACTTTTTTTTTTCAAACATTTCCTATTAATTATTAAACTAAATTAGCATTTAATAAATTTAATGATGCTAATTAAAGGCACCATGATGTTAATGATTTTTAATGTCAATGACGTATTTTTAATACTTTGTATTTCACTTTTTTTTTTTTGGATTTTTGAGTCTTTTGTTAATCAATAAATAATTTCTATTTCACTTTGTATTCTCCTTTTTAGCCTATTACTATAGTAAGTACTTTTTCTTTTTTTCCTTTTATTTTTGTATTTGTAGTATCAATTTTTTTGTTCAAATTTTTTATTATTGTTATTTGTAGATGGTGGATTGATAATGATGAAACTTAGCAGTGACTTAAAAGGACATGCATGGCTAGAACATGATTTGAGTACTCCTCTCTTCTTATATTTTCCCCTTCCCGAAAAGTTTACTATAAAGACTATTTTATTTCTCTCATGATTTAATATATTTTCCATATTGACTCTATGTTAATTACATTATTAATTGGTATTTAATTTTTCATCCCTCTATTGTCCAATTTTACTCACATATTTTCTAAAACTCTTGTGTGCCTTTAGAATTCAAACATTTCTCATTAATTATAAAATTAAATTAGCCTTTAATAAGTTCAATGACATTAATTAAGGACACCACATTGTTAATGATTTTTAATGTCAGTTATGTATTTTCAATAGTTTTTATTTGAGTTATTTTTTATTTTATGAG